TACTCAAAGTAATTGTTAGTAGAAAAAAACACTTCTACAAAAAAAAAAAACTTTAAAGGCTCTATTAAAAACATTGGACGCAATTAAAAATATATTCGAAGTAATAAAGAATATTTCTAAAGAGGTGAAAAATGGTTTAGAAGAAATCAAAAGTACTTCAAATTATTTTAAACATAGTTCAAAATTCTATTGACTACATCAAAAAAGATTTGTAGAACTCAATAAGTTCCTATAGAAATGATGTAAAAAACAAGTCAGACTTATGCTCATGTTTTAAGTTTATAATGGGTGACCAAATTAAAGTTGATAATTTAACAGTTCCCTCCCTCTACCGAAATAGCATTTGTTACACCTAAAAACGATGCAACTAACATATTTGCAATAATGAAACTGAAAAGTGTAACCAGTTAGAAAAACATATTTTAGATTATAAAAATGTTAATAAAACTAGTTGAAAGGGCACATTTGCAAAAATATGTACTACAGAGGTTTTGTTAAATACTTCGAAAACAAATTGAAATGATTTGAAGAAACAAAAAACGATTCAGATACTACTAAAATGAATTAAATTACAGAAGTAATTTAAAACTCAATTTGCTAAATCAAAAAAAATTTGGGGAACTACAAAAATTCCTATAAAAATGATGGAATGACTGATTCAGATTCATACTCTAAACTTGTTTGGAGTGACCTGATTAAGGTTGATAATTTAATGGCTGTTTCTTCTGATAGAGCATCTGAAACTATAACCGATAAAACAAACATGAAAAAGAATGAAACTTCTATGACTCGTTGGTTAGAGAAATATATTGTAGATTATACAAATAATCAGAAGATAGGACGTTTGTTCAATTCACAATATGAACTACGCTATGCATTCAACATATTATGGAAATTCTAAATTAAAATTGTTGTAATTCGTAAAATTTTGTAATTCTTTTTTTTTTTTATGATGATATCATAAGTCATTGATGCATTATTACAGAATAGCACGGTTTTCGCTTTCCTCATCAACACCACCTCGTGAAAAGGATATATAAATTATATGCTACCGTGAAAAAGCTTGCATGGAAAAAAATCGACTAGTTGGATATCCAGCTTGGAGTTCTTTTGATAACAAATTTGGCTTAGTAGGATGTTATTTTAACGGATGTCGATACGATTTTTTATCAGTATAAAGTATTTTATAGTCATAAAAACTTTGATGCTTTGTGAGATTGTCATTTATACTTCATTCTTGTTATTTTTATAAGCCTCCTAATATTACTCACGTTTGGGAATAAATTAAAATCCATTAAATTATACGCGTCTTTTTATTTAATAAAATACAAATGACAAAGTTCTTTTTTCAAAATAATATTTATTGTATAATACATCGAATGTTGACATAGTATATAGTTGCAATATTTTTGTATTGAATCTGAGTGGATGAAAGATTTTTAATAATGAAAGAAATATGGAGAGTGAATTTTATAAGGTCCTTAGCAATGATTAAATATATAACGCTCGTTTAGTTATAAATATTTAACGAATTAATGTAATCAATAACATAGTTGTTATGTTACAAAGAATATTGACGAGGACCAATTATTATTAAATTTCAAAATGGCATAAACAATACAATTAATTATGTAAAATTTAACAAACAACAACAAAAATAAGTCAAAATAATACTCATCAATTTGTCCTTGCGTGTAGCTTGAAGTTGGTGCCAATTTAGGCAAATGATGGACAGGACGTTAGATGAACGATCGTGCAATACTTAATGACAAAGCTGATGATGACATTGAATGGCAATATGC